TATATATAGTTAATGCAACTGATGTGCACACACACAAACTTAGCCCATCTTTGTATTTAGGTGATGTGTGATACAAATAGCTTGAGGTTATTCTCTATATCTTAAGAATATTTTAATGCACTATCTGTCCTTACTGCTTTAATGAGGTACTTTTTAATTACACCAGCTATAACACTGCTCACAGTTTTGTGTTTGAACTATTTTTTTTTTTTTTTTTTTTTTTTAAGAGAACAAAGCAAATAAACAAGAAATCACCATCTGGCACTGTCAATTGTGACAGTTTTTCATTTTTGATCTGTGCATCCAAAGTTTGCTTGTTTTAATAAGTCAGACTATTGCCTTTGAAAAAGTCTTCGATATCGCTCTGCACTGACACCCACTTTCTTCACATCTGTGGTCAGTGTTTTGTTGATGATGGGAGCAATGCGGTCGTCAGCCAAGGCCAAATCAAGGAAACACAGCAGGTGTCCCTGGATGAGTAAAATGTTTGACGTCCTGCTCATCACTCTTTCTCTTCAGGCACACATTAAAAACGACTACCATGACCTCCAGGGACAATCACAACCCCCTCTGTTTCACAGCTAAATGACACCCTGGAGGATGACATAATCTGCCTCAAATATTAAAAGCCCAACCAAGTGCATGGTCATGGTCTTGTATTCCTCTGCTGAATAGACTTTTGATTGCACGAAGCATCCCCCACCACGAGAACAGTCACTGTTTGCACTGCGTGGTAAAGAAAATAATACATGACGATGAGAGGCTATTACTTGGCAGACACAGAGCCTCCAGCTTTTTAATCATACTCAGAAGCTCCCGGTGTTGGTGATGGCTGAGAACTTGAAATGTAATGTACATTTGTGGCTGTTGTTTTGTACCTGTCGATGGATGAAGACGACAGACCCGAGGAGACGCCAGGTCCCTCCCTGCCTGTCAACGTGTAGCATACGCAGAATCTGCAGGAAACGAATACCTCTAGAAAATGACCAACAAAAAAAAAAAAAAAAAATTAAAAAGTCCTTGCACTGCATGCACATCAAATGCAAGAAAACAGTAGTACATACAAAATAAACAAATCTTGTGGTCATATATGCAGATTAATTAAAAAAGTACTTTGTTATTTTACATTAGGTACCCAGTGCATAAATTTCATCATTAACCAAAAAGGTAGAAAGTCTTAGCCAGGGCTTAATTTTAGTTGGATCCTGTCAGAACAGGATCCGGGAACTCTCTTGAACTGTTTGCTTGGATCCATTAACTCTCAGGCTCACTAATAATAAAGTTATGAACAAATATGACTGCTTTGAATGACTAAAACCTATAATGGATATATAAACTGAAAATAATTACATAAACACTCATTTTAAACACAACAGCCAATCCACTTACAAGCTTCTTAATATAACATACGAACTGTCACTTCAAGTAGCATTTCCCTTAAAAAAAATCTCTGCCCGTAAAAGAGTGGTGGAGGAGAGTGCCGAGCTAACCAGGAGCCCACAGGAAGCAATGAACAGACGGAGGATTGAAGCTCGGACCATCAAGTAAGTGGATGCGTAGGGGATGTTTGACAGAAGTGGAGTGTTTACAGATGTATGTAAATGTAGATATTTAACAATCCGTTAAAATACACCAAAATGCAGGAACTCACATCTATTTTATTCAAAGATTTCTGGGGGAGGAATCCCAGACCCCCACCGGTCTGCCTGCTACTCGTGTTCCGGCATCTATCAGTTTACAAATTAAGCCCTGGTCTTAACCATAATTTATCTTAGCACACACAATATCTCTTACCTTACAGCAGAGGTAGCAAACACCTGGCCTTTGGAGCCCACTGACAGCACAATTATCGAGGCAACGACTACAATCAGATCTGCAACAGAACACAGTCTTCAGTATAAATACACTACATGTAATCATGGATGACTATAATTTATCAACACCCATCAAACTTGACAATATTACAAGAAAAATCAAGGAAATAAGAAATGATCACTTTTTATTCAAATTAAATGAATTAACTTAGGTGAAAAGGGTTAACCATTGTGTTTTACAATGATATTCATTGCATAATAATTAAAAAATAAATATACCTGGAGGCTTATTTTTTTCTGAGCATGAATTGGAAGTGAGGGGATATGGTGGTGACAGTTTTAATTTCATGCTGAATTTGTCCTAATATCTCATTTTAGGATGATGTTCGCAGCGTATTACAGTGATTGTTTAAAACGTGTGCGTGGGTGGATGGTGACACGTCTGCTTGCGTGCATGAGCAGAAAGATACAGTGTGTGGGGATTGTGTTTCCACCTATAATAGATATTGGCTTCCTGGCAAAGCGTAGTCGTCCCCAGATGCCAACATATTTACTGCGGCAGCCTGCTGACCAAAGACGGACAAAATATTCCACTCCGAAGAACACCACAAGGACAATCTCCTGTTAGATGAATGAGGCAGAGGGACAGAGGGGCGGAAAACAAACATCAGATGTTGCTGCAGGTTGCTTCGGTGCAACAGCACCTGAACAGCTGCTCCCATTTGTGCCAACTTTGCTGCAAAACAAATAGAGTTACATCAAAATAAAAAGCACTCCGCAGAGCTCCTTGCACTTGCCTAATCACATCAACACAATTCATTAAGGATTATTGATTCTCCCTCAGCAGATACACGCTTTGTTAGTGTTTTATTTACGCCACTTCATTGATGAGCTCTTTGATTCAGCTGCTAACGTCCTCGAGCCTGATGAATGTGTGATTATGATGCACTCTTTGATGGAGTTGTTTTGTTCTGAAGAGGAACTTGTACATTTATCAGCAACATTTTTACTATAATGTAATTTTGGTGGAATACAGGCTCCATTTGGTTAGATGAAACATGTGTAAGCTCTAGATATAAAGATAGTAAAAAAAAAAAAAAAACGATATAAGAATAGCATCCCTTTAAAAAAATGCACATTGTCTCGTTATGTTGTTTGTTTGTCATATGCAGGTTAACACAAGGTCAACAATGCAATGGAAATGTTCAGGATGAAAAGCACCGATTTGACTCACTAAAAATAAAATAAAAGAATAAAGCTAAACTAAAGCATGCAACAAAGGTACAAAATAAAGTAAGTACTAAAAAGTGAAAAAAGAAAAATAATATTTCCAAGGTCCAAAAGAAATATAGTAAACAACATCATGGTATAATATAACAGTGCAAGTAGGATGAATTCATATAAAAATGTACAAAGTAATTCACAGGTAGTAATTTTAGCTTAAATGCACATGGTATATATTGTACATAACATACACAGGTTGTGTGACAGGTTATTTCACAGGTAGTGAGTAACATTTAGATTAATTATGATGGTAAGGAAGTGACATAAATTATACAGTATAATGATACTTGTGTAATTCATGACAGCTTTTTGGGCTAAAATCATCTTATGCTGAGAAATACCAAAGGTATGGGCATTTGTTAAAACCTTGAAATTAATGTTATGCCCAATCTTATGCAATTTTCCAAGAAATCACATCCAAAATATATGTTGTAAATGATTCTCAACTGCTACAACCTTAACTGTTACCTGATTATTTGTAATTTTGAACCAGTTATAGCTGTTGTGTTGGCTAGCTATGTCTCTACACCTCTAGATGCAGGGAGAGGGCCACCTGCATCATGAAGAACCACACTCACCCAGCACACACACTTTTTGTCTCGCTCCCCTCAGGCAGAAGGTTGAGAAGCATTAAGTGTAGAACCACTAGACTGAGCAACAGCTTCTACCCTGAAGCTGTGACTCATGAATCTCTAACCAGAATAATCACTGTGAAAAAAAATCACTGTAATGCAACTTGATTATTGATATGTGCTGCTGATCTCATGCTGCTGATTTATTTCATGCTGCTGTGTCCATTCGTACTCATCTGCTTACACAGACTCATGGTTGTGCTGCTGTTCTGCGTATTGTTTTTGTACTACCAGTGCTTAGCTTATTCTTAGTTTTGCGTTTTTCTTAGTTCATATCTTTCATTTACCCTTTATTTAAACAGGTTAGTCTCATTGAACCACAAAAACTCATTTTCAAGAGAGACCTGTTTAGGGAGCAGATGGTGGGGGTTAAGGGCCTTGCTCAGGGGCCCAGAGTGGGGCGAATGAAGGTGGAGGGAGGTGTGGGTGTTTCTCTTTTTCCACCCACATTTTGATGTTGACGGTACCGGGAGGTGAACCTGCGACTTTCCCATCACAATCCCATCTTCTAACCTCTGCGCCACCACTCCCCCTAATCTTAGATCTTATTACCGTTTATCTTTATCTTTATAATTTATACTTTTGTTGGATGTAACTGGGACCTTGTGTACACAATTTTATTCCACCACATGTACCACATGTGATAAGAATGACAATAAAGAAACCTTTTTCACTGAAAATTTTGTCACTGAAATGTGTCTTTAATAGTTTATATAAAACCATCCAAGTTAATAAAATAATAAGTTAGAGTTGAGTGCAATAGTTCTTGGCATATGTTTAATCAAAACTACTGCTGAGTGTGTAGTCCTTCAAAAAAATGGTTGTGAATGACTTTTACCTACAATCACACTAAACAGATCAAAATCTGTAAAACTGGCAGTTATGGTCATTGTTGTGTTGGCTGAGGTCAGCAGTGGCAGCCATCTTGGATTGGGTTGACCTCAGACTTTCAACTGTAGATGTCCACCTAATTATTACTTTCAGAAAAGTTCATAAAATCCATTTAGTGGTTGAGATATTTCACTAACAGAAAGAGCTGACTCTAATTGTTAAGAAGAAAATATCAAAAACATAAAAACAAGTGATTAGTTAGCACTTGGAGTATTCTATATAAGTTTTTGATCACTCTCGGCTACTTACCAAACCAAACTGTAGCTCAATATTTGTAAACATATCTGAGTTATAATAATTATGTGTTAGCTATGGTTGGTTGGCTAAGGCTGAATAGCTGTGGCAGCCATCTTGAATAGAGTTAATAGCAAATATTAATCAGTTGTAGATGTGCATTCCATAAATCTAATAAAATGTTTTTATGGAACGTTAACACACAGACACACATATGGTAACTGGCATAAATATCATTGCCCACCTTTGCCTTTCAGTGACATTTCATAAAAAAAGTCACTAAAAGTCCTTTAAAGCTATATCAGCTACTTGCATAAATACCCAAATTACCACACAATAAAAAAAGCTGAAGCAATGTGCCGTCTTTGATTAACAATAATCCTCCAGCAGATGCAACATTTGTTGTTGTTTAGCTTGCCCACAAACAGTTGACATGTTCTATTTCGGCTGATAAATATATTTGGACCAAAATTATTTCTAAATATAAGATCCCTAAAAAGACATGAATCTGTGATTTGTTTTTTCTTCTTAATTTCATTAAATAACTTTTCTGTGCCTGGTCATTGGTGCGCTGGGCCGGCCTTCCTCAGCTGCTGCTCCCTGTTGCTCTGGCACCCGGGCCTGGGGCCGGCTTGTGGACTTGTGGCCGGCTCCAGACGTGGGGACCGCTGTGTGTCTGCGGCTCCAGTCTTCCCTGTGTTACCATCGTGACCCGTGGGGACAGGTCTGTGGGTGCCCACATCCACTATTGAACATTTTTATGGAGAAACCTTATAGTGATAAACATGCTCACACAGGTGTTTAGATTCAGGTGTTTGTCAGATACACACTCAGTTGGGTTGTGGTGGCCATCAAATATATCTTGTATTACCATGTAGTGTATAAAATACTTTCTAATGATGTTATAAGTATCATTATATACGTTTCAAAATATCCTGATGCATGCTCAATAATCCAGGTAGAAAAATCTAAAAAAGTTAAATCTGGTCCTCTGGACGTACAAAAAACAAAACAAAGTAAAACAACAACAAAAAATGTAGAAACGTTTCGTCTTTCATCCGAGAGACTTCCTCAGTCTGAGGTGCTGTATTCAGCTCAGTCTTATAAATATTGCTTATAGCCTTACAAATAATGGTGCTATTTATAAGACTGAGCTGAATACAGCACCTCAGACTGAGGAAGTCTTTCAGATGAAAGACAAAATGTTTCTACATTTTTGTGTTGTTTTGCTTTGTTTTGTTTTTTTGAATGTCCAGAGGAACAGATTTAACTTTTTGAGATTAAATATGTTGTTTGTCGTTGTGGTTTCTCAGTTTTGTCTTTTTTTTTTCTTTCCGCAGGTCTAGAGCCAGACTTCAATTATGTTGATTTGTGTTCTCTTTATCTCTCTCTCCTCTATTCCTATCTCCTTCTTTCCTTTTTAACCCTTCTCCCACTTTTCTGCCTTTGTTTTAATCTTTGTTTTTTTCATTCCCATGTCCATTACATCTGAAACAAACCCAAAGCAGATTCAGATAAAGTTTTATTTATATATCAAGCTTGTGAAAGTAAATCTGTTGGGCATCACTTTGACACTCGGACAATAATTCTGAGTGTCACAATGCCGGACAGAACAAGGAAGAAAAAAACAAACACTTTTTTAACTTTCATCATCAAATAGATTAGCCTTTATAATAATTAAAATATGCATTATAAGTGCATTATATAATAAAATGTATTTGTGAATAGAGAGTAAATCAGAAACTAAAGAATAAAGATTGTCATACAGTGAGAGCTTGTTGAGCCTACTGAAACAACCAAAACTAATTTTTGTGTATCAAGTTTTTGAACTGAAAAGTTTGGCAAAAAAGTAATCTGGAATATTTTATTTTTTTTTCCATTGTGGTTTTTGGCTGCTTGGTTTTGTTTCATTTCTTAACATATAATTTCAAAGCTTGGCAGGAACATGAAAACAATCTTGGGTAAAGTATGTTTAGATTACAGTTGTGGCAAAGAAAATCACTAAAAGCACTAAAGCTACATCAGCTATGAATACCCAAATTACCACAATTTAAAAAAAGCAAGATTATTGTATACTGTGCAAACCAAATGCAACTATCAGCCTCATATTTTGTTGTTAATTTATTTATTTTTCACCTTTCAATTGATTCATATCATAATACATGATTCAGGTCCAAGCAGGTAGTTTTCAGTACTAACGAATCAATGCTTTTAAATTAAATGAACTTTGTTGTTTGTTTGTTTTATTCTAGTTTCAGAGCTCCTTAGATTGACAAAAGCAAAATAAAAAAAAAGGCATTCTTTGCACTGTGCATTCAGAACTTATGATAAACGTGTGTGAATGAGAATACAGTTACATCTACAGATGTCTTAATGAATGAGCAGTTCTCAGGAAAAAAAAAAGCTAAAGCAAATAGCTTCATAGATGTTTAATGGGGACACAATCTTTTCAGTGAATGATAAGAGAAAACCTCTGAAGAATTCAAGTAGATGATATTGTTTTCATTTTCAATTGCTAATTTTTAGAGCCACAATAAGAAAAAAAAAAAAACTTTTGGAAAGTAAATTGGAATAATAGATTTAATTCTACTCCTTGAGGCTAATGTTTGGCTTGATCTTACATTTCCTAATTTATTCACTATGGATTTATACTTCAAGGTTAAAAAACAAACAGCCTTTCC